TTCAAGCCTGTATTATTGAAAGAGTAACAAGTCTGGGACCAGCAACCAATATTCTGAATTATGCTTATTGCGCACCTAAGAGTTTCTGGTACTGCCCGCCATAAGAATATTGTCTTCTCATCATACATATCGCTCTCTGTTCGTCATTCTCTCTTTTATAAATTTTACCTGCACAAAAAAAAGCAACTTGGAGCAATTCGCCGACAAAATCCCAGCATCTAAGCCTGCTTGGTTGCGGAGTTGAGGTACCCGGAGCGACGAAAACACATACATACACACATACATAAACATACGCACACAAACAAACACGCACATACACATGCAAGCACTCACACAAACATACACATACGCAAACACACACAGACATACACATTCAAACGTAAACACATACACACGCACACAAACACACACATATACACACACGCAAATACGCACACAGACATACACATACAGACACGAACACACACACACACACACGCAAACACGCACAAGCATACACATACAAACATAAATACACACACCAACCCGCATATCCCCAAAAAAATTACTCCGGACTGGTTCTCATTCGAAATAGTAGTAATATCATAAAATTTAAAGCTTAATACGTGGCTTAACTAACAAAACATAACAAGAATACTAAGTGTTGGTGATCATACTGGGCTGCTTTCAATTTCTTGGAAATGTATTTTACAAATTCTGCTGCTTATGAAAAAAAAATGTCCAAATAAAATCTTTATTCAAAGAAAGATATTTTAACAAGCAAAGTGCTTCCCTTCTTTTTTTTTACATTATACAGGAAAATAAATTAGCATCGGCATAAGCGGTGAAACGAGGAGGAGGAGAAGGACACGGTGTCTTAACAATTCATGCAGGAAAATGCATCGCTTTTCATGCTCTTCTCGAGAAAAGATGCATTTGCGAGTTAAGACAAACTGCAACAAACAATGGGGACAGATGCGCAAGGAGGAAAAAAAAGATGCCGAGCAGATTAATGATGATGCTAAAAGCATGATTAACAACATAGCAGAAACGAATGTGTAGCCAACAGTTAAAGATAATCCTTCAGAAATTTGGATTATTCTTAAAAAGCGCCATAACAATGGGATTGGGGTCTACCATATTTTACCGCACTGTGAGGTGCGTTTTGGATCTATTATTAACAAATCAAGATTTTTAAAATTTATTTGAAGCGGGATTGAATTTTTATCGAGAAATTCCCTCGCAAAACTTTGAAAAATAATTTTTATAGTCACAGGATGATTGGGAAAAACACTGTAATTTCAAAATCACAATGATGAAAACACCGAAAAAAACGGTGGATTGATAAAATTCACTTGGCGGCAGAACTTGTCCACGAAACTGACTCGAAAAAATTGTTCTTCGAAAAGTCGTTTATTTGGTAAATGCTGTATTTCTACTGGACATTATACCCATCACATGACTCTAGTTTTCCTTGACAATTCCAGCAGTGTTTTAAAGATAGTCAGTGGAAAGTTTTGGATAAGATCTGTCCGCCTCGTGCATATTTTCAGCGTAATCACATGGATATTGAACAGTCATATTTCATATGCACTGGATGTGTATTGTGAAACAATCAACTTTGATTATCACTGCGCACAATAAGCATCAAATAATATGGGCTAACAGCAAAAAAAAAGAAACTTCAAGCGATTTTACAGAATTATGAAAGGATTAACGGTTTACGAGGGTTTGAGAGAAGAGGGGCTCAGGGAGCAGGTAAGTGGACCCGAAAAATTTGACCCCTCGAACTGGAACACTTTTGAAACAGCTGATCCGAGGTGCTTTTGAAAAAAAGCATAATTTTTGTAAAGACTAGCTAATTTTGTAAAAACTAACTCCATTTTCCATTTCTTACGAGGGTTTTTTAAATTGTTAATAACCGGGAAAACCAATTTTTTATCCAAAATAAAATTTCAAAAACCCTCGGAAAATAAATTTCGCAAAAAGTATAAAGAAAAAAAAGTTTGTATTTCAACACGTCTACAGCCAGGAAGCAGTAGGTTTGTGTAGGAATACTGGATTCGGACAACTGGAGATTCTGTGCAGAAATAAAAGTGTGGTCTCTCGATGATGAGATGTTGCAAAAAAAAACATGTCACATTTCAAATTTGAATGCAGCACACACATCATCCGTTCCACCACTGGAAAGCCTCAATGTGCATCGCTCAACGGAGCAGCGAAGACTGATACCCGACTCGGCCAGTTCACCAGCCTAAAATTGAGCACTGCTAAACACTCAAATGCCGAAATACTCAAATAATTCCGGGGGAAAAAAGGAACAAAACAGATAGTGGTAGGCGGATAGGTGAACAAAATTAGGAAAGGTTCAAGGCGGCGAGGACGAGCATCGAGGGCTGGGATTACTGGCTGGCTGACTGGGAAGTGACGACACTGAAGTTCGCTGCGCAAGAAAGAATTACGCCAAATAGCAAAAGTTAGCAATGATACATACATACATACATACATACATACATACATACATACATACATACATACATACATACATACATACGTACATACACACATGCATATATATACATACATACATATATACATACATATATACATGTACACATATATATATAAATATATATACATAAATACATATATACAAAAATACGTATATACATATATACGTGAATACATATATGTACATAAACACATATATACATAAATACATATATACATAAATACAAATATACATAAATACATACATACATAAATACATATACACACAAACACACATATATATATATATATATATATATACATATATACATAAACATATATAC